TAACATCATCTCCAGTAGTGAAAGGCTTCACATGAAGATCAGGCGTAAGACAGGATGTCTACTGTCACCACATCTACTCAACATTGTACTGCTGGTTGTAGCTAGGGCTACTGGTCAAGAAGGAGAAGTAAAGACAACCACATTGGAAAGCAAGAAGTAAAACTATTACTATTCACAGATGCTATGATATTGTACATAGAAAATTTTAAGGAGTCTAAAATAAACATTATAATTGCTAATAATGAGCTCAGCAATATACAGATCAATACAAAAATCAATTCCATTTCTTTCTTTCTTCCTCTCCTTTAAGACACAGTCTTGTCGGGCACTGGTGGCTCATGCCTGTAATCCCAGCTACTCAGGAGGCAGAGATCAGGAGGATCACAGTTCAAATCCAGCCCGGAAAATAGCTCCTTGAGACCCTATCTCAAAAAACCCTTCACAAAAATAGGGCGGAGTGGCTCAAGGTCAAGGCCCTGAATTCAAGCCCCAGTATCAAAAAAAAAAAAGACAAAAGTCTTGCTACGTAGTCCAAGCTGGGCTAGAACTCATGATCTTCTTGCCTCAGCCTTCTGAGTGCTGGGATTATAGATGTGTACCACAATACCCAGATCAACTGTATTTATGTATACTAGTAATGGACAGATATGAAAATAAATTCAAGAATAAAATTCTACTGGATGCCCATGTCTCATACCTACAATCCTAGCTACTTTGGGAGGCTGAGATCAGGAGTATCGAAATTCTATGCCAGCCTAGGCAAATATTTCGAGAGACCCCCTTCTTCAAAATAACCAGAGTGAAATGAACTGGAGATGGAGCTCAAGTGGTAGAATACCTGCTTTGCAAGTATACTGCTTTGCAAGCACAAAGCCCTGATTTCAAACTCCGGTTCCCCACCCCCCCCCACACACAAAAAGGAATAAAATTCCATTCATGATAGCATCAAAAAGAATAAAATACAGGAATTTTTTTCTTTTTTGGTGGTACTGGGGTTTGAATTTAGGGTCTTATGCTTGATAGCCAGGCATTCTACCACCTGAGCCACCCACCAGCCCAGGAATAAATTTAACAAAAGAAGTAAAACACTTATACACTGAAAATTACAAAACATTATTGAAAGAAATTAAAAACCTAGATACTTAGGAAGAAATTCCATGTTTATCAATCAAAAGACTTAATAATATTAAGATGGTAACACTCCCCAAATTGATTTACATATTCAACCTGTAAAAATCCCAGCTGGCTTTTGCAGAAATTGACAACCTGACTCTAGAATAAATGTGGACATGAAAGAGACCCAGAATTGCAAAATAATCTTGAAAAAGAAAAAAAATTGGAGAACTCACACTTTTGATTTCAAATTTGCTACAAAGCTACAATAATCAGTACAGTGTGATGCTGAGTGTGGTGGTACATGCCTATAATCCCAGTCCACAGGAGGCTGAGGCAGGAGGATCATGAGTTTGAGGCCTGCCTTGGCTACATAGCAAGACCTTGTCTCAAAAAAAATTAATACAGTGAGGTATTGGCAAAAGTAAAGATAGATAATTGGACTACGTGAATACTGTGTATCAAAGGACAATCAACAGAGTATAATGGCAACCCACAGATGGGAGAAAATATGTACAAATCACATATCAGACAAGGATTAAATGAGAATATATAAAAGAATTAAAATTCAGCAACAAAAAAACCAAATAACCAATTTAAAAATGGGCAAAGGACTTGAACAGACATTTGCCCAGAGAAGATCTACAAAAGGCTCACAAGCTAGGAAAAGATGCCTAACACTAGTAGTTATTAGGGAGATGCAAATCAAGACCACAACACGATGTTACCTTAGGTCTGGGGATTCAGAGCTTGTTAGGCAAGCTTGAGGCCCTGGGTTTAATTCCCAGTACCCTCCCCAAAAAGATGCCCCTTCATACTTATGATAGCTACTACAAAAAACAAAAAAAACAAAACCAGAAAATAAGTGGTGGTGAGGATGTAGAGAAATCGGCACCCTCTTACACAGCTGATGGGAACATGCAGTGTTGCCATACAGAGGAATGTAAGAAACAAAATGTGGTCTGTACATACAAGATAACCTAACATCATCCATCTGTACAAAGGAAGGAGCAGGGCTTTGTGGCTCACACCCATAATCACAGCACTCAGGAAGGAGGCTAAGGCAGAAGGACCTTGAATCTGAAGAAAAAAAACAGGAAGGAAATTCCCAGCACATGTTACAACATGGATGAAGTTTGAGAACACTGTGCCAAGTGAAATGAGCTAATCAGAAAAAGAAAAATACTGTAAGAATACATTTTCATATGTAGTCAAAATTCATAGTGAGAAAAACAATGGTGGTTGTTGGGGGCTGCGGGAGGGGGAGAATAGTGTTTGATGGCTGTAGAGTTACCACAATGTTTTATATATACAGTATTATATATATTATATAAATGTAGATACAGAGTCTTAGTTTGGGACCATGATAAGGTCGTAGAGCTGGATGGTGATGATGGTTACACATCACTGTGATTGTATTAATGCCACAGAAGATGGCTAAAATGGTAAGTTATATGATATATATAAACTACATATATGTGTATATAACCACAGTAGTTAATCCTTGATAATGAATGACAACAAATGACAATGTTTGCTAGTTTATATGTACTATATCATACTTTTGATCTTTTGAACTCCTTCTACTTATAATAAAAAGGAGTTTACTGTGTTGCAGAGCTGAGCCACGCCCGCAGTGCCTCCATGTGTCTGGAATTTACCAAGTCTCTTGGTGGCATCCAGAGCCCACACTGAGGGGTTGACTTAGACTGTCTAGGTTTGTGGAAATGCACCCTCATGTTTGCCCAATGACAGAATCTCCTAATGACGCATTTCTCAGAATGTAACCTCGTTATTAAGCAATGCATGACTATACTTAGTGAATAGTGTCCTTAGAGCTCAGAGACTTTGTGACTGTGAGGGGAAGGAAATAGGGGACCAAAAAAATCTCAGGCTTCCAGATAACACATTCTATACATGGATGAGTCTTGAGGACTCCTGCCTCATGAAATAAGCCAGTCACAAAAAGACAAATACTATATGATTCCACGTATGTCAGGTACCTAGAGTAGTCAAATTTATAGAAAATAAATAATTGGTGATTGGCAGAGGTGGGGGGAAGGAGAAAAGGTAGCTGTTTAATGGAAACAGAGTGTAGGATGAAAAAGTTCTGGAGATTGGTTGTGAAGCAGTGTGAACCTATTTAACACTATTGAACTGAACAGTTAGAAATGATTAGGGTGGGCTGGGCTCAGTGGCTCACATCTGTAATCCTAGCTACTCAGGAGGCAGAATTGGAAGGACTGTGTTTCAAGGCCCCACCTCAAACAATGACTGGGTGTAGTGGTGTAGGCCTGTCATTCCTGCCACACAGGAAAGATAAATAGGAAGATCATAGTTCTAGGCCTGCCTGGGCATAAAAGCAAGACACTGTGAAAAACAACTAAAACAAAAGGCTGGCAAGGGGCTCATGTGGGAGAGTGCCTGGTTAGCAAGTGTGAGGCCTTGAGTTCAAACCCCAGTGCCTCCAAACAACCAAACAAACCAAAAAGGCAGGTGGTGTGGTTCAAGTGGTTCAGTGCCTGTTTAACAAGTGAACAGGCCCTGAGTTCAAACAAACAAACAAACAAAAAAAGTGGTTAAGATAGTTAAAAAAAAAAATCTTTTTGAGACAAGTTCTCCTTATGTAGGCAAGGCTGACTTCAAACTTGAAATCCTCTTACCTAAGCCTTCCCAGTCCTAGGGTTATAAATGTATCTGCCTAAGAGTCAATTTTTTTGTAATGTGTATTTTTACATTTTTTAAAAGGCTATCAACATTTGCTTAGCTGTAGGCAGTCGCTGGTGGCTCACACTTATAATCATAGCTACTTGGGAGGCTGAAATTGGGAGGGTCACAGTTTGAGGCCAGTTGGAGCAAAAAATTAGTGGGACCCCATCCTAACCAATATCTGGGCATAATGGCACACATCTGTCATCCCAAGTTACTCAGGAGACCAAGATGGGGAGGATTGTGGTTTTAGGTCAGCCCAGGCAAAAAAGTTTGCAAGACCCCACCTTAACAGAAAAAAAGCTGGGTGTGATGGTGTGTGCCTGTCATTCCAGCCTAAAATAAGAGGGAAGCCTAAAATAGGAGGATTGCAGTACAGGCTGGTGTGGACAAAAAGTGAGACCCTATCTTCAAAATAACCAGAGCTAAAGGTCAAAGATGTGTTTCAAGTTGTAGAACACCTGTCTAGCAAGTTCAAAGTCCTAAGTTCAAAGCCTAATACCACCCCCCCTAAAAAATTGCTTAGCTGTGTTTTCAGAAGTGATAGATGGTGAGATATTGAAATTTATTGGATTGAGACAATTTTGTTTTCTGTGTCCCTAAGGAACTCCCTTGAATTCCTCCTGTGTCTACCAGGCTGCTCACCAATTAGCCTGATATCTATCATTTAAGCCTACACAGTACATGGCAGGTCTTTCCGTAGATAATTCTCCAAAATGCTGGGCTGGGTGTATAGCTCAAGTGGTAGAGTGCTTGCAAGTGCGAGGCCCAGGGTTCAATTCCCAGTACCGCAAAAGAAAAAAGAAGTCTGGGCAGCCAAGGTCTAGTGACTTCCATGACTTTTCCCAGTGCAGGGAATGGATCTCTCACTGCATCCCCTTGGCATGACTCCACAGCCTGGATTCTCCACTGGTCCTTATCTCCACAAAACTAACCACTATTTAGGGGTCCCCAAAATCTTCAGCTCCCCCTTGCAGATGAGCATTTTTCCAGATATTGATGGATGTTGTGTGTGTGGATCCTGGAATGAGTGAAGAGATTAATGGAAACAGGAACAAATAAATAGACAAACTCGTGGAGACTTGAAGAGGGTGTGGTCTGGATAGAAGGAAGAGCAGAAGAGCTGAGTGGGACATTTCATCTGTGCTTACCAAAGCGTTCTCTTCTGCCTTGCGCTGTGGGCAGAGAACACTGAGGACAGCCTAGGGCCTGAATCTGTTGCCATCCTAGGGAGAAGCCAACTCCGACCCACCTGTCTATGCTCCCAGCAGTTAAGGAGGTTCAGGTAAGATGCCTGATGAGAGAAGGGTAGCAAGGGCAACTTGGCAGAGTTGTACAAAGGGGGAGGGACATGTTTCTTCTACGATAAATCACTCTGGGGCTGGAGATGTAGCTCAGTGGCAGAGTGCTTACCTAGGATGCAAGAGGCTCTGGGTCTCTGGGTTCCATCCCTGGTTCCACAAAAAATAAAAAAGAAAGAAAGAGGAAGAGGGAGATGGAGAGGGAAATGGTGAGGGAGGCCACTCTGCCTCCTGTGGGAAGGCAACTCAAGAGGGAAGAAATTGGAGGGAAGATCTGACCCCAGAGCCATGGGTAGTGAGTTCCAGAAAGGATTTTGGAGGGACCCTTGCCAGGGCTCAGTGATCAATTGCATGTGGACATAGTGAGAGAGAGAAAGAGGTCTCCATTGTTGACTTTTGGGTGCTTCAGTGATAGAGTCCAAAGGAACATATCTATGTGGGTAGGGTGAAGATAGGGCAAGATGAACAGAGAAAGGGAGTTTCACTTTTGTCAGGCATTTCTCATATTCCATGGGTTTGTCAGGCTGGTTGCTCCAATAAAGGGGGAACTTGTTTGTTTGTTTAATTTATTTTTCAGTACTGGAGGTTGAACTCAGGGCTTCATGCTTGCTACACAGGCGCTCTGCCACTTGTGTCTGCCACTTGCCCAAAGCCATTTTATGCTTTAGTTATTTTTCAGATAGGGTCTACGACCTCAATCTTCTTACCTATAGCCTCCTGCATCTCTGGGATAGCAGGTACATGTCACCATGCCCTGCTTGCTTGTTGAGAAGAGTTCTCACTAACTTTTTGCTGGCCTCCAATGATGATCCTCCTGATCTCCACCTCTCCTGAGTAGCTGGGATTACAGGCGTGAGCACTTGGCCAAAGGGGGACTTTTATGTTGCCCTTCAGGGTCTTTGCATTTGGTTTTGGAGAGGTAAGGTGGGGTCTGTCCGTTTACCCAGAGAAGCTGAGGAGGCCAGACTCAGGATGGAGTGGAAGGGAGACATAGCTTTCAGAAAATAGGGAAGGAAAGAGACTGAGGAAGCAAGGCTGTTTAAAAATCTCCACTCTTTCCATTTCTGAATCCTTTAAATGACAGCCTGTAGGTTGTGTCACTTGATCCCCTTGCTAATCTGGCTGGGCCACTGTCTCCCCAGGCTAATGGGGTTTCTAGGCTGGCTGAAGAGCACTTGCTGATACAGGATGAGGGCACTGTGTGTCCCTGGTCCTTTGCAGGGGAGCAAGGCATTGGCCTGAATTATTTACTCACTTGTCATAGATAAAGTCCAGAGAGAAGGTAAAGGCACAGACATTTCCTTGAACTTGGGAAGACTCCCCAGTACCCACCTGCTAGCCCCAGGCTCTCTTCTGATTCTTCCAAGCCTGGGGGTGAGGAAGTCCTCCTTGTCAACCTTCTCTATTCCAAGCCTCAGGGAGCCTCAGGACCCCAGCAGTGAAGGAACAGGGTCTGATCTCATCTTTCATTGTAGGGATGGGGAGACTGAGGCAGAGGGTGAAGGGAACACCCTGGTTGGACCTCTTTCCTGCTTGGTCTCCCTAACCATAGCTCCCTCTGCAGGGACAGAAAGGCATGGCCTGGAAATTGGCACCATTTCTGCTTCTGGCCTGGATAGCCACCAGATGCAGTGCTCGGGACAGGACTGACCTGCTCAATGTCTGTATGGACGCCAAGCACCACAAGACTAAGCCAGGCCCTGAGGACAAGCTGCATGACCAGGTCTGCAGGGGAGTTTTGGGGAGCAGGCTGATGCTACAAGGAGAGGAAGTCAGAGTGGTGGGGGAGGGGTTGAGAGGCAAGACACCCCCACCCTGAGTTATTGTTGTGGGAGAAGATGAAGGTGGAGTAGGGAGAGTGGTGGAGGTGATTTCCCGGTGTCCTCCCTGGAAGAAGATACCATGTTGGCAATGACATAAAGGACTCATTCACTGGGCTCCTGTCAGGTGGCATGTGCTCTCTGTACATGATTTGGTGTAGATAGATGATGTTCTTCACAGTGCACAAATAAGGGAAACAAAGCCCATGGAAGCACGTGGACCTGCACAGCACACTTTTGAGGGGGTGGGGCTAGGACTGGGGTGAGCTAATCCAGGAATTTGAGTTAATTTTGTGTGTGAGTATGTGTGTAGTACTGGGGTTTGAACTGAGGACCTATACTTTGAGCCACTCCACCATCCCTTTTGTGAAGGTTTTTTTTTCAAGCTAGGGGCTTGAGAACTATTTGCCTGGGCTGGCTTTGAACTAGATCCTCCAGATCTTTGCTTCCTGAGTAGCTGAGTAGGATTATAGGCATGAGTCACTGGCACCCAGCATTTTTTTTTTTGTGGGACTGGAGTTGAACTCAGGTCTTTGCACTTGCAAAGCAGGTGCTGACCTTGAGTCACAATCTTCCTGATCTCAGCCTCTCAAGTAGCTAGGATTATAAGGGTGAGTCACTTGTGCCCACTTCCTTCAGGGATTTGGAGTGTGAGAGACCATGGGAGACATGACACTACCCTCATGTCATGCCATTCCATGGAGTGCCAAAGGTAGAAAAGGGGAAGGCCCTCCTCTTGTACCCAGTGACACAGGGTACAAGGGGCGAGGGGGAGTGTACATTCTCATAGTCTATAAACACTTCTAATAGTGGATTGCAACCCTATGTCTTTTTATAACAAATGTGTCTTTTTATAACAAATATGTTTAGACCCTCTTTTCCATTGTGGAATGAAATTCAAGGTTATTAGAACCTACTTGTATACAAAAACTTAAAAATGTCAATATAATGTTCTATCTGTAACACAAAGGAGAAGCAAACAAAAAAACTCTAGGTGCTTCTCCACTTAATTTGGGATTGTGTCCTGCTAAACTTATTGTAGGGTGACAATGCACTTAGTACATGTGAGCCACCCAGTATACTCTAGAACATGGGTTGTTGCCTCTTTCTTTTCTTCCCTCCCCTCCCCCTTCCTCCTTATTCTTTCTTTCCCTTCCTTCCATCTTTCTTTCCTTCTTTTCCTTCCTTATGTCTTTCTGTCCTTCCTTCCTTCCTCCCTCCCTTCCTTCCCTTTTCCCTCCTCCCTTTTTTCCTTCCTCCCTTCTTCCTTTTTCTTCCTTCCTTGCCACTGGTCTTGCTACTATGTTACCCAGTCTGGTGTCGAAACTCCTGGGCAGATGTGGCTTGCTTCCATTTTTTGCAAGAGCATATTGTATTGTATGTTACACATGAACGAATCAAAGTTCAAACTAGTTTCTACTGAAAGCATATCACTTTTGCACTACCACTTTTAAAGTTAAAAAAAATCCTAAGTCAAACCATCATATGTTGGGGACCATCTGTAATTGCTAGTAAAATAATACACTAAGTAATTTCTCTGGTACGACTTCATTTGGGCAGCACGAACCAAGACTAATGCAGGTGAGTTCTATTGGCATTTACGTTGCTAACTAAGCAGATGGCTATGGATGGCATAATTTTCTAAATAGTGAATACACTATTAGAACAGAACACACAGAACCCCCTTCCATTTCATGAAATTTTTCAGTTCTGGAAAACCCTGTTTATGTTAGCAGCTTGTGAAAATACGATGAGTCTGTTTGTAAGACAGAGTTCAGTTTAGATATAGGAGATCATAAAAGGTCTTTTTTTTTTTTTTGTGGTATCATGTTTGAATTCAGGGCCTCACACTTGCTTGGGCAGGTGCCCTACCACTTAAGCCATTCTGCCAGCCCTGTTTTTCATTGGCCTTTTTAGCAAGTGTGTTTGTGAGCTTACCAGGTGTCTGACCCTGGCCTCGCCACTGGGAGTGCAGATCTGAATACTTACCAAGAAGAATGAATTTATTCGAGCCTCATTACCTTGTGGCTGGTTCCCTCTCCTCCTTTGCTCAACATGTCACTTTCCAATGAGGCCTTCCCCTCTCAGGATATTTAAATCCCAACAATCTCCCCATGCTCCCCATTCACATTAAGTGCTCGAATTTTCTCCGTATCATTTATCATATCCTGACATACTGTGGCTTTTCTTTCAGTGTCTTACTGTCTGTCTCCCCTGACTACAGTATAAGGTCCATGAATACCTATTTCTGTCTGTTTTGTTTCTTCTAGATTCCCAGCATCTAAATAGGGACTGATATATAGCAGGTGCTCAATACTTCATTTTTTGGCAGTATTGGGATTTGAACTCAGGGCCTCCCACTTGCTATGCCCCCCAGTCCTTTTTGTTTTATTTATTTTTCCCGCTTTTTTGATCCTGTGGGCCTTGGACCACGATCTTCCTACCTATGCTTCCAAGCATCTGGGTGTACAGTATGCAACACCATGCCTGGCTTGTTTATTGCCATGGGGGAGGGAATCCCCCTAACTTTTTGCCCAGGCTGGCCTCAAACTGAGATCACCCCAATCTCTGCCTCCTGAGTAGCTAGGATTACAAGTGTGAGCCATCACACCCTGCTTAATATTTTTTTAATGAATAAATGAAAAGTTTTTTGTTTTTTTGGTTGGTGATTTGAGACAGAGTCTGGCTATATGGCCCAAATTGGCCTCAAACTCAAGATCCTACTGCTTCAGCTTCTGGAGTGCTGGGATTACAGGCATTCCACCACACTTGGCTGAAGAGAGTTTATAAAGTGTGAAGAGCTGCATAAATGGTAACTGTTATCCGCAAGACAGGGCTCCCCCTGGCTCTGACACAGAGGCAGTTATGTCCCCCTAAAGCCGGGAGATCCTGTAGGTCAAGGACAGAGGTGCCCTTGCAATGATAGTTCTCAGAATAGCCTGCCTGGGGCAGAGGAGTGAGAACCAAATGGGGTGTGGCTGGAGGTGGGGAGTGGGGCTGGAGGGAGTTAGTCCTGTGTTTTTCCCACCCAGTGCAGTCCCTGGAGGAGGAATGCCTGCTGCTCAGTCTACACCAGCCAAGAACTGCACAAAGATACCTCCCGCCTGTACAACTTCAACTGGGATCACTGTGGCAAGATGGAGCCTGAATGTAAGCGTCACTTCATCCAAGACACCTGTCTGTATGAGTGCTCGCCCAACCTTGGGCCCTGGATCCAGCAGGTACAATTGTCTGCCCACCCCAGTAGGCTGCCCTCTGGTTCAGGCCCTTCCTGACTGTGGTTGCTAATATCCCCACTCCACCCAGGTAGACCAGAGCTGGCGCAAAGAGCGTTTCCTGGACGTGCCCTTATGCAAAGAGGATTGTCAGGCCTGGTGGGAAGCCTGCCGCACCTCCTCCACCTGCAAGAGTGATTGGCACAAGGGCTGGGACTGGACCTCAGGTGAGGGCCTGGAGGGTGGAGAGCTGGATGTAGAGTTTGGAAAAGGGGAGGTTGAGGATTCAGGGTTGGGTGAGGATTTTTGGGGTGGGTTCAGGGCTGCATGTCTCTATCTGCAGGAGTTAATAAGTGCCCAGCCAAGGCTGTCTGCCGCACATTCGAGTTCTACTTCCCCACGCCCACTGCCCTTTGTGAGGGTCTCTGGAGTCACTCCTACAAGGTCAGCAACTATAGCCGAGGGAGCGGCCGCTGCATCCAGATGTGGTTTGACCCAGCCCAGGGCAACCCCAATGAGGAGGTGGCGAGGTTCTATGCTAAGGTCATGACTGCTGGGGCTATGTCCCATGGGATGGGGCTTTTCCTGCCCAGCCTGGTCCTGGTGATGCCACTCTGGCTCTTTGTCTGAGTCCCATCCTCCCTAGATCTCCCTTCTGTCTGCCTCAAGCTTGAGTGACCAGGCTGACTTCAGCTGAGGGACCCCTAAATTTACCTTCATCTACTACACAGCCCTGTGCCACCCAGCTCCTACTCCATGGTGGGGAGGAGGTTGGGGTTCCTCCAACAGTCAATTGTAATAAATCTATGACATATTCATGTGTGATTATTTTGCTTATGATTTGTGTGTGTTGGGGGTAGGACAAATCCTCTAGTTTATGGATTCCTTCTAGATTAGAGCAACTAGACCTGTGTTTGAATCCTGACTCTCACTTCCTGGTGAAAGTGAAACTGTGTAACCTTAGTTTCCTCCTCAATAAAATGGGGATAATAATCTTTGCCTTGGGCTTGTGAAAAGGAAAGGAGCTTTTGTCTAGACAGCATGTGAGCTGAGTGCTTGAACGTTCATGCTCCTCAGAGATCCCGCTGCTCCTGTGGTGCCCTAAATGAGACCCAAGTCTCAGACTTCTGATTCACATTGGTTCTCAAACATCTCCCCTCCCCCAGTCCTTGTCTGCCTGGCTCCATGCTCAGCTCTGCAATGGGAAAGCTGGAAATGAGAGTCCAGGGAAGGCTTTGTACTCCCGGTGGGAGGGGGAAAAAAACTCCCAGTGGGAGGGGAAAAAATTCACACTACTTGATATGATGTGGATTGAAGGGGCAGAGTTGGGCCGTGGGACCCTCAGAGGAGGAAGAGAGCCAATTGGGAAAGCAGTCCCGGGGATTCCTGCAGAGGAAATACTCAAGATCTGTGAACTGGTCCAGTTCTGTGCTCTGGAGGCTCTGCTGGAAGAGGGTTAGAAACCCTTAGGGGCTTCTCAGAGGCAGGGGGCAGGGCCTCTTTGTCTGGCACTTTTGTCCCCTCCCAGGATTAGTAGATATGCCGATTTTAGAAGGTTGCTCTATCTTTGCACAGCCCTTAGGAGCTGGGCCTAACTTGATTTCTGGGTCTCCCTCCTCTCCTTTCCCCCTGGGGAAGTCTTTGTCTCTACAATCCTCCTCAGGGGCACACAAGTACCTGTATGATAACAGTCCGGAGTGGGCGGCCCAGCTGGGACTGGGCCCAGGTGCGCCAACTCCTAGTCCAAGTCTCTCTCCCTCACACCAGCGTGCCCCCGCCCCCCACCCCCACCCCCACCCCCGACACCTCCTTCATACCAAAAGGTGTCTGATGGGGGAAGTTGGGCACAGATTGGGTTCCTGGCAGAATCTGGAGACACGGATTGGTAGGTAGCGGATATTTGTTATTGAATTTATCTAGTCTAGGAGGCCCCAGAGGGCTCCCCTCCACGTTCCCGGCTTTGTTCCAGCTGGGTTAACCCAATGCAAGTTTGAAATACAGGAAACTTCTCAGGACTGATCCGGGCTCTGTCAACAGGTTCAATTTAGCAAAGTGAAAGTTCTTTGCTAGGTTAAAGGGATGCTCTCCCAGCCGCCCAGGAGTAGGCAACAGTGGGGGGGGGGCCCCCCAGCTTGGAGGCCTGCGCCTTTAAGGAGCTAGGGGGCGGAGGGGCGGGGCAGGAAGAGAACTCCCGAGAGACGCAGCCACCGGCTAGGTCTTTTTTTGGGAAGGGGCGGGCCAGACCCGGGTAAGGGTGCCGCCCCCTTTCTGGTGGCAGCGTCCCCCTTCCGCTCGGGAGGTGGGTGGGAGGTCCGTGCGTCCCCGGTGTGGGGAGCTCCCGGAGCTGCGTCTGGCCCGCCGAGGCGCAAGTTTGTTGACTTGGAGGGAGTAGCTGGGGCGGGGGCGGTGCTAATAATACCCGTTCGTTCCGCAGTCGCGCTTTACAGTTTACACAGCTGTCACCCTCGTTACTCCTTAATTAATAATAAAAATAGCCGCCGTACGGGCGCGCCCGCCGGGTGCCAGACCCTGTGCCGAGCGCTTTACAAGCAGAGTCCCATAGAGTGCGCCCTCCTAACATTCTCCCCATTGTACAGAGCGGGAAGCCGAGGCTCTGGGAGGTGCAGGGACTTGCCCGAGGTCACTGGGCGGGTGAACAGCTCGGGACCCGGACCCGGACCGGGTGAGGCTGGGCGCGGTGCTGCCCCCCGCTCCCGGGAGAGCCGCGGAGGCGGGGCGGGACGGCGGGCGGGGCGGAAGGCGCAGGGGGTGCGCGGCGGCGGTGGCGGTGGCGGCGGCGGCGGCGGATGGCCATCTTAAGTGGCCGCCGGGAGTCCAGAGCCGCTTCTCCTAGCAAGGAGGCACCGGAGCGGCCCCGGAGGTGGGGACTGCACGCTGCGGCCGTGGCTCTGCAGAGGGCCCGGGAGCCGGGAGGTTGAAGGAACTTTCTCCTACATGGCCAAGGGGGTCCTCTCGTCTCCGACTGCGGGTCCCCTCAAGGCCCCGGCCTGCGGTTGTGGGGAGTGGTGCCAGGGAACTTGGCCGGGGCGGGGGGTGGGGGCCTGCAGGGGACAGTGCGTGAAGCTCGAGGACACTGGACCTCGTCTGCGGGTGTGTGGGCGTCGGATCCCTATGAAGGAGATCCCCGCGAGATTTGTCGGGGGACGGACCGGGTGAAATCAGACCTTAGGGGGATTGGGTTTCAGGAGAGTTGAGGGTCTTTCTCGCTTACATCACGGGGGAGGTGATGGGGGAGAACTCATCCTGGATCTTTCCTTTTTAAGAACCCCGATCCTGCAAGGCTGTAAGGACGCCGAATGGAAAAGCTTTGGGGTGGATTCAGACTTATATGGGGACTAAGGGTCATCTCAGCGCGAATGTTCTAGGGGTGCCGGGATTCTGAAGTGTCGGGACGCAGGATGGGGTCTTGACTTAAGTCGGGACTTGGAGACTGGATCTCTTCGGGGTGGGGGGCAGGATCACCGTGGGATTTGGGAGGCCCGGGTCCTGCGGGACTGTGGGGGCATGGTCCCTGGGAGGAGAGGTGGGGGCAGGGGCGGCCCGGGCCGTGGGCCGACTGGAGGGGGAGGGGGCGGCCGTCCGGCTCGGCGCTGCGCTCCCGCCCCTCCCCCGCCGCCTCTGAACAAACTTTTCTTTCTCTTCAAGTTGAGGCCGGCGCTGCTGGCGGCGGCGGCTGCGCGGCGAACCAGGCGGCCTGCGCGGCGGAGCGAGGAGTCCCGATCCCCGGCTCCGTCTGATCTGCGGATCCTCAGGCCCGGGACCCGGGCACGGCCCCAGTCTCGGCCCGGAGCTTCCCGGGGTGGATGGCGGGGGACGGCAGGTACCGGCTGAGCTGAGTCCTGCACGGGCCATGGCCTCGGCGTGCGGGGCGCCGGGGGCCGCTGGGCCCGGGGGCGCTCTGGGCAGCCCGGCCCCCACCTGGTACCACCGAGACCTGAGCCGTGCTGCCGCGGAGGAGCTGCTGGCCCGGGCCGGCCGCGATGGTAGCTTCCTGGTCCGAGACAGTGAGAGCGTGGCGGGGGCCTTCGCACTCTGCGTCCTGTGAGTGGAGCAGGGTGGGAACTGGGGGGGGAGGAGGGGCGGCCCGGTGTGTTCCAGGTGTGGGGGCGGGGCAGGTGACTGGGGCCGTAGGACGCCAGTCCCACCCACAGAGTGGGGGCCTTGACTTTAACCTGAGACTGAAGAAGGAGGGGGGAGCAGCACTTACTGCTGTGTGTCTGGAGGCACATTCTGGGGGTCTTGGTGCGGAGTTCTGGGGTCCAGGTGATGGGCAAAAATGCCGGCAGTGTTGCAGATCCGTCTAGGATCCCCAGGTAGAAGAGGCATAGAGTGAGAATGCATGTTCCACCCTGTGTGTAGGCTGAGCATGTGAGGGGGGGCAAGAAGAACTGACAAGGTGTGTGAGGATGCCCAGCAGCTTCCTTAGGGGTCTGGCTGGCTGTGTATGGCTGGGGCTGTGGTGGGGGGTTGGCGTTGAGAGGAAGGCTTGGGGAGACAGCAGGGTAAGGCTGTATGGGACTTATGAACTCACTCATGAACCAGTGAATGAGTGTACCCTGGCTCTGGCTGGAGCCCTGAGCCCTCAGTGTGGCTGGCCCTGTCAGCTGTGCATGGCAGTGATGTGGAGTGAATTTGTACTTTCAGTTTTGCAGTGTTCTCCCTGGCCTGTATGCCACAGTCTGACACTGAGTGGGCCTCTGTGCGTCTTTGGAATGGGAAGCTGTGGGGGCTGATCTGTTTAGATCTGCTTTCTTCCTTAACACTGTGAAACACCCTCCCAAGCCCCTGTCTCTTTGTCCCTTCTTTCCTCCTCTGCTCTCCTGACATGTTTGGGGGTGCATTGGACTAGACTACAGAAACATCTTTGGTTGTCACAACTGGGATGGAGCTTTCAGCATCTAGTGGGTAGAAGCCAGAGATGCTGCTGAACACTGACAGTGCCTAAGGCAGGCCCCAACCACTAAAGATTCTTCTGTGCAAGTGTTAGTCATGTTAGTCATGTTAGTTCTGCAGCAGTTGAGAACTCTGGTCTAGGCAGTTGACCTGCTGAGTCAGGGAGCAGTCTTGTCACTCTCAGCTTTTGCCTCAAGTCAAAGGCTCAGTACCAGGAGAACAAAGTAGAATAGCCTAGGGCCATGAATATCCTAGGAGTTACACCTCCCCGCCCCCTCTGAAGTGTACCCCCTATCTAGGGAGAGGAAGGAGGCAGGTGCTGGGTCAGCTGTTGAGTGGGAGGGGGACAGCTGGGCCCCTTATCTCAGTGAGGAACATTATTGTCCCAGTAGGGAGAGAATCCTGGCTCTACTGCTTGGGGGAGGCAGGGGTGGGGTAAGGGGTTTGCCTATTGTTTTGGGAATTCAGCTTTGCCAGTTGAGTGTGACTTCCCTTCATCTCAGAAGCCTGAGGGTAGGGAACAGAAGTGGGGGATTTCTTAGGCTTCACAAACAAATACACACTTGTTTACCTATATACACACTGCATGGACTGGAATAACATTCAGGGCACACCCCTGCCCTGACAGACTTCTGCCCTGCTTTTAAGTCCCAGTTCTCTCCCTTTTATTTGCTCTGTGACCTTGGGAAAGTCGCTTTTTCTATTGGGGGGCCTCAGTTTCCTCATCTGGAGAATAGAGATAATATCTGCTTCAAAATGTGAGAGTTAGGGACTCCACGTGGTGGCTCATGCCTGTAATCC